AGCTACATGCAGTTAAGCGTAGATGAANTATTCCATCTCGTTCAATTCGTCGTTTTCCCGAGTAGAATTCTAAAAGACTGTATCGAACTTGAGGAAAAGAAAAAGAAAGTCATGGTCTTCCGTTCACGTCCTCAACAAAACGTGAAAATAGGCATTTTCTCGTCGTAGTCGTTGACTTCCGGAAAGCATTTGATTTGATTGACCTTCATGCTGTGGCGCGCAAGCTCTCCTCCTATGATATTCCCAGGTCGATTTCGTGTTGGATCATAGACTTTTTAATGGTCCGTAAGCAAAGGATAAAGCTGAGCCGCGATTGCTTCTCGGAGTGGGAAGCTGTTCCTGCAGGGGTCCCACAGGGGACGAAACTGGGCCCCTGGCTGTTCCTTATCATGATAAATGATCTTTCTGTAGCAGACACAACTCTTTGGAAATACGTCGATGACACCACTCTTGTCGAATCAGTATCGAAGAACGAGACTAGCTACATGCAGTTAAGCGTAGATGAACTTGTACGACAGTCGGAAGCTGACGGTTTCCAACTCAACGAGTCTAAATGTAAAAAACTGAGAATATTATTCTCTAGATCAGGAAGTTCTGTAGATCATATCACTATCAATGATAAGCAAATCGAAGTTGTCTCGTCCGCAAAGCTGTTAGGAGTGGTAGTTTCGGACAACCTCAAGTGGAACGCGCATGTAGAATCTATATGCAAAAAGGCTGCGACGCGCCTGTACTTCCTAAAACAGCTAAAGCGCGCTAAAGTTCCACCCAAGTATATGCTACTTTTCTATACAACATGTATACGCCCTGTATTAGAATATGCGTGCCCAGTTTTTCATCATTCTTTGCCGCAATATCTGTCTAATGAAATGGAAAGGTTGCAAAAGCGCGCGTTGCGGATAATACAACCCGACTTATCCTATGCTGAGGCTCTAGTAGCTCTAGACATCACGTCACTGTACGAGAGGAGAAAGACCTTGAGTAATGCTCTATTTGACCAAATTGTAAGGGACCAAAGCCAACAAGCTCCATGATCTGCTGCCGCCACGCAACGAGTCCACTTATTGCACCCGTAGCCAGAGATACTTCAAACTACCGCTTTGTAAGACAAATAGGTTTAAAAACACTTTTATTATGGCGATCAGTTATAACAGTTTTAGTAGTAATCTTATTTATTAGTATTTTGGTGTTGATACTTCTCATTTTGTAGCGGAGCTCTCGCGCGCGCGAAGCGCGCGCAGCGGAGCACCATGGGTAACAAAATTTGGTAAACTATCCATCCGAGAAAATTTGGTTATGAGGTAGCGTACGCCCTCCAGCTCACCCGTATACACACTTCATGTAAGCCGATGTGAAAGGTTACAATAGATCTTGCACAACTTGACTAGCCTGACAGTTATGTAAGCCATCCGTATGAGTACGATTAGATTGACAGCTGTCAAAATCAGACATCCGCTGACAATCATCACATGACCATCTCGCGGGCTCAGATGAAAGACCAGTCTGAGCGAATTTCTCGCCTCGAATTCATCTTGAAAAAGAGCAAACACCGGGAAGCCGGCTTAAAACATAAATAAGATTATGCTAACCTGACTCATGATTTTCAGAGACAGTTTACTCTCAATACTTGTCTTCGTGAATGAAAATTATTGTCTCTGTACATGTTTCACCGAATTATATTTATTTTCTTGATTGTTAGTAGTCCCTCTCGCAATTTTTATCGTTTGCTGTGAAGTATTTTGAAAGTTATTTTTAAGACAGATCCATCTTATCCTTTAAGTTTAGTTTTTGTTTCATTAAGTCTTGTTTTTGTCCACGTACTGTTTTCCTGTTTTGATCTTTTGTTTTTACTTGTATTTGAAGTTATGCTTAGCTCGCGAATTGACTTATTGCCATATTAGGAATGTTACAGGTGATCGTGTTTGTGGTGTTAGAGCTGACCTTCGTTATTTGGTACTTATCAGTTGCGGCTGTGCGTGGGCTAGTCTATTCCCTGATAATAGTAAACCTGTTGCAATGTTAGCGATAAGATTATACAATGGAAACTCTTCCGGTCAGCTAACCCAAACATGTCCAGCTTTGGCTATTAAAACCGCTACTATACTTGAACTAGTTAGTAGAGTAGAAGTAAAGAAGTTGGTTGAACCGAGAAACTTGCTGTGTAAGGAGAAGTTGTAAGAAGATTACGAAGAATAAAGGCAAGATGTAAATCAGATTCCTGGTACCTCGTCGTGTAGCGAGCGAGTTGCTCAAACTCACCCCCAAACTTTGCACCGGCTGTTTCCAGTCGAACATAAACATCGCATGCAGGAATACTCAAAACGCCGCGCGTAAATATCACTCGCTTTTAAAGATTACACATAACAAAACCATAAAAAGTTTTATAAATAAAGGGAAATAAAACCTAAACATAACAAAATCTCTATCATGTTGAAGCGTAAATGGTAACTCTATTAATCGCACTGCAAATTTGGTGCCTGTCAAAAGTCAGAACCTGTCCGGCTGGCCGAAAAAGTGATTTTGGGAATTTTTTTATCATTTTCACTAAAAGCCGATAATTATTACCCTGCATATCACATAGGACCAGATTTTTCTAACTGAAAAGTCCCGGCATTATGAAATTCTCTTCATGAAAACGTTTTCTAATGTGGTCAATGCCATAATTTGTTGCGCACAGGAAGCGCGTTCTTTGATCGTCCTGGATATTGAATGAGTGCAATTTGTCTTGCAACATTGTGAAAAACTGCAGAATTATAGGTTTAAATGAGGCAAAAAAGAACAAATTCTGTCCGAGGTCTGTATGATAAAAAAGGGGCCTCATAGTACTGTTTACCTGAAACGTGATGAGAAAAAGTATGTTTAAAAGGCTGGTTCACACGACACCAGATTCGTCGCCAAGATTTACTTGTAAAGTAAACTTGTCGAACACAAAAAATCCGGCCTGATTTTTTATTTTGGCCTCCCTTTTAGACAGAGGAATGCAACGTGTAAATTGGCTGCCACCAAGGACTATCGTGGCGCGTGTGTTTCTTAAAATTATATTTCGGGGTTGTCCAATTATCCATAGTCTCTCAAACGGAGCAATGTTGGAGAGACTGGTGAATGCCACATTATGATGCGACCGCAAATGCAAATACAATATGTTTTCCAGGCCTAATCTAATGTGATCGAACATGACTTTTTTTTTTGGTTGTAAAAATAAGACTATTAACTCGATGTAAAATTTGTTTCACTTTTGCATGCCGCTGTCAAATTATTTTTTCTCTAAAATCACTTTGCCTTTGCCTCAAAAGTCACATGAATGTGCCCTGATCTGTGGATTACAAGTTTATTGTTTGATTTAAATTATGAATTTATTAACGGGAGCTTTGCTTTTAATTAGCCCTGGCTAAATCTATATATTATAGTAGTTATCATATATTTCTAGATAATGTTTAGTTCCATTATGTAAAGTAAGTCACGTTCAGCCGGCCCGGGGCCTGCAATGATTTTACTTCTTAATAAAGCTATCTATCTAAGCTATCTATCTATCTACAGAGTCAGTCTGATACGCTTCCTTCCACTTTGCTTGCTTTATGTTTTTAAAATAATGAGGAAACAGGCAAATACAAACACCAAAAACCGATTCCAAGATTTCCTCATTTTAGATCTTCAGTACAAAACGTGCTTTTATTTATGTCCCTGTTTGAAACGACTTTCGCAACAATTTGCTATCCAGTTTTTTTGGTCCTTAAATTTACGAATGCCGTTTTAACTTTGCGGGGAAAGGAACACTTGATTCACACTTTTCTGAGTTCCGAAAAAACAGAAGACGAGACTATTCAAATAAGACTGATGGAGCTGCAGCACTTTGTAGTGATTAACAGCGGATGTTTGTCTTTAGTTTTTACATTCTAGCAACAGTGCAATTACGTTTTGTGTTGTCCAAGGCTAAATGTAATAAATATCTAACAGGGACATCACATCACTCATATCCTAATAAAGTTAAGATTGAGTTGGCGTTTTAATTACCAAAACTAAACACCTTTGTGTCAGTTTGCGCAGCCAGGAAATTCATGATTATGATTTGAACTGACAACAGTCTGTCCATTTTAAAATAAGTAATAAAAAATAAAATGCATATTTATTTATGTAAACGAAATTGATTGTTATTTTACTAAAAGAAACTTTTGTTTTAGGAACATCGTTGTTTGCTTAGAATCTCAAATAGAACGAATGGAAAATTATAGGCAATAAATCATCAACATTGCCGCTTTTAGGATAAAACGAATAACCAAAATTAAAGAAAAATTCAAAAAACTGCCGCCGCAAACATATAACTCGTGCGCTCTGTTTTTATATATAATGAAAAGTGGCCTGTAAAGTTGTCAGTCATCATAATTGCCTTGAACGCCATTTATCTTCCGATAGTAAAACCTTTTATTTTTTCAGCTGTTGCTATTATTATAAGCAGAAGTATATAAGTATAATTTTCAAGTCAGTTCTCGCGTATAAGTAACCTTCATTCAAACTCAGCTCTGTACTGTTCTTCATGCAGCCAGGTAACAGCATTAACAACAACAACAAATATTATAAAATAAATAAACAATTTTACTAACAAGGTTGATAAGGGGAAGTTGTTGTGTTCCACTTAATTTTTTCACGTCATCGTTGCCACTATACTGAATTTTAATTCTGAAGTTAATGAAAATTTCCTTGTTTTGTTTTATCGCTGGCGGCTACTTACCTGGCTGATGTTTGCTGTCTAAGTAGTGGAAAGACAAGCTGACCGTTAAGCCGTTAAACGGTAGCGATAGGAGACAAAAACATCGTAATTTTATCATCCTAAGAATCGGCATTTTTAAAGCGACAGCTAAAACTAAAAATGAACTCTTAAATAATTTAAACAATTTTAGAACGATGACAATATGCAATGAAATATTCATTGTTTATGTTATGTCTACGACTCTTTTATTTTTCTTTGTCTTATATATCCTTATTTTGCTATTGTAAGACGTACAGTCACGTTCTGTCCCCGAAGCGCTCTTCGATGTTTGCCCAGCTCACTCTTTGCGACAGAACAAATCACAAACGATAAATTTGTGGAAATATCCCCTCTGGCTGGATTTAAACAAGACAATTACTTGCCTGTGGTGTTGGTAGAAGCCGTCAGTGTTCCTATCACATAGTGGAACGACAACTATTGAAGACCGAAGACTTTTTGTCCCGCTACGATATTTGCACTACTTCCGAGTTGTGAAAAGTATTCATTCGACCAGGTCAGAGCTTAATTTTTCGCCCATTCAGCAAAATATTATAGTCTATCATTTTTAGTTCTTGGGCCTCGTATCGGTCCATCGAGTACAAAACAAATTGTGTGCCGTTTATTTTAAACTCTATATTTCCCTTTCTTTGAGGTTTTCATTACGATTTATTGCTTATTTGAGGAATTTAGCAGAAATACAAGAACGATCTCGTGCTTACCTAACATTTATATTCAAACTTACCTTTAATTTTATTATTTTCCGTTTCTTATCTTAATAATGCTGGTGGTCACATGGAAAAAAAGGATTATGTCTCACGCACGGAATCTTTTATGCAGCTAACTTTACACATTGTCGACTACATCGTGTGCCATTTTAATTGCTTACTTTACAATGGTACAGGTTCTTAAAAGACAAAAGTAATACTTGCCTCCGCGTGCTTATGTTTCCGGATCCCTCAAGAACCTGTAGTTGTTTGATAATTTGATGTCGTTGTTTTCCAGAGTATGGATGGGCAAATGTACCCTAATACTTGAAACCCCCGCGAAGACCAGAGATTCACTTTTTTCGCTCATATAACCAATCGCTTGGTAGACTGCTTGCAGTCCGCCTTTTCTCTTAAAATCGGTCTAGTTCTTGATCTCATTCAGCGCGATTGCATACCACGATGTGATTATATAGGGATCGAGACGAGACGAGAAAAGACGGGTCTCTTATTTTTTCTTTTCGGGCTTACGCCCTCGTTTCTCACGGCAAGCGACTTCGCCGCTCGCGTGCTTAGGTTTTGCGTGTAGTAACTTTGCAAAGAAAAATAAGACACTGCTCGCAGTCTAATCCCTTGCCGTCAATTTCGTGGTTCATTGAGCGAGCTGTTTTCATATACCGCCAAGTGAAAGCAATTTATCAACTCTCAAGGAATTTTATTAAATGTGGGCGAATTGTTTTGTAAAAATTTGGCGCATTCGACACACATCTTACTCGTCAAAGTTCAGACATGTTTCCCGCAAGTGTTAACTCGGTGTTACCAAGAGAGAATGATCTCTCTTGGTGTTACCACGAAAAAGGCTAGAGTTGCACTCGGCTGCGCCTCGTGCAACTCTTACGCCTCTTGAGTGCTCTCCAAACTTCCCGCGTGCTCAATATCTCGACATACGCACGCTGACGCATGAACTAATTGTTAATTGTTAAGCTCCTTGCAAACGGATGCAACATTGAAAACTGCATGGTATGGTTAAATTTTTCGAACGCATGAGGGTAATGAAGCATTTCCGAAATTTCTCTATGAAGCNTTCGTGGTTCATTGAGCGAGCTGTTTTCATATACCGCCAAGTGAAAGCAATTTATCAACTCTCAAGGAATTTTATTAAATGTGGGCGAATTGTTTTGTAAAAATTTGGCGCATTCGACACACATCTTACTCGTCAAAGTTCAGACATGTTTCCCGCAAGTGTTAACTCGGTGTTACCAAGAGAGAATGATCTCTCTTGGTGTTACCACGAAAAAGGCTAGAGTTGCACTCGGCTGCGCCTCGTGCAACTCTTACGCCTCTTGAGTGCTCTCCAAACTTCCCGCGTGCTCAATATCTCGACATACGCACGCTGACGCATGAACTAATTGTTAATTGTTAAGCTCCTTGCAAACGGATGCAACATTGAAAACTGCATGGTATGGTTAAATTTTTCGAACGCATGATGGTAATGAAGCATTTCCGAAATTTCTCTATGAAGCTTGATAAACATTAACTTAACCCTCAAGCAAAGGAGTCATAGATTAATTATTAAATCTGAGGGAGGTACTTAGCTTTTTACTGTAGAGCAAAGTTTGCATTTTTATTTCATCCACTGGTATAACTATTTTAAGACGATGAAAGAGAACCATGTCCTCGAGGCTCCGTTTTACAAAACGTTTAGTTCGTCGAAAATCAGGTTATTTAAAACGCTGGCCCACTTTAACGTTTTTGGGCGTTTTTGAAGAAACTTGTGGCCCTCATGACATTTTAAGGTTGTGACACAAAGCGCATTTTAATGTCCGCTGCTAACAAAATTAGTTCGTCAAGAATACTCCGCTGGTTCATCTGGTGATGAAACACGGTCTCATACTTGATAAATTACATAACATTAAGAACACGCACCTCAGAATTGTTTCGGTGGAATCTCTCCTTTACTGAAAACTCATAAAACTCCTTTTCCTTTTTTGATCTCGAGAAAGGATTTGCTTAAACTAAATACTGTTACATCTGACATGATGACATCTGATGTGCTGTCAGAAAAAGACAAAAAAGCGTGCTACCATAAAGCTACCATAGTCAAGCGACCCTCGTTACTTTCGGAATTAACAGCCTTTAGGGCTCGTTACTTTCGGGGTGTCGTTATTTTCGGGGACCAAAAACCATGAAACAAAGTTGGCGCTACCTCTTTCCCGATATGAAAAATAAACAACATAATATTAAAAAAACAAACATTCATTTGTGTTATATGGTATTTGTAACAGAGTTACCTACCATGATTTATGTCGTTATGAGACTATTTTTCGCTCTCGTTGCAGAAGAGACTTACTGAATCCCCTCATTTCGATTTGAGTCACGAAAATCAGGTACTGTTTGTTTACGCAAAAAATCACGTTATATGTCTTGTTTCTGATCAGTTTTAACTGGAAGACACGTTCATGTTGTTGATATGAACTTTATATCAGTTTAGTTTTTTTACGTTGTGCAATCTGTGAACTGATACATCATAGCCTGTGTATACACACCTCCCCCTCACGTCAACGACTAGTGATAGTTTCAGGCATACCATGTTTGATCATGTTTCCCTTGTTGTAAAGTGCGTTATCGCGATAAATTTGCAAATGCACGAAGACATAGGTATTGTACATTAAAAATTTGACCATGGATTGCAACTGGAAAACAATAAAGACATTCGGTATGTTTATAACGTAAAGTAAGTATAAAACTTAGTCTCGATATTTTTTGGGGACTCGCTATTTTCGGGATTTATTAGAAGACAGAAACTTTTGACGTTATATCGGGGGATCGTAACTTCAATGGGGGGTCGCTACTATGAGAACTTTACAGTAATTCTTTTACAGAGGACTTTTTGGTGCTAAGAAAATTGTCGCAAACAGTTGGTGGTAAAACCACGAATTTAAATGCAATAGTCAAAACGAATATATAATCAGTCGACATAAAAGTTTCTCTTCGAGAAGCTTCCACAATTCACTCATTGAACTAAAAATATGTAAAAAAAAAGTTTATTGGCAAACTGGAGATTCGAGGTAAACATCTAAAACCAGACACACTCGCGAGCACTGTTCATGAATTTTGGAAACCTAATATTTTCTCTTTCCAAAATATACCAGTATGGCCTAAGGCTAATTTAAACACGCAATTTTGACGCCTTTAGTCATAATCGCAAAAGTAGATAAAAGTAAACAAACTAAAAACCCCCGAAAAAAGAGAGATGTCTTTGTCTCTTGGCAGGAAGGTGCCAATTTGGTCTTATTCGCTAAATTAAGTTTTGAACCGATAATTTTCAACTTGCAACAGCCATTCTGTCGCGGCCAGCCGCCTGCGCGTCTTATATTTATAGGGTTGTTTATATTACAACTCTTGACAATTCATTTGTCCTGTTTGCAGTTAACCCAGGATTAATTAAAGCTAACCACTCAGAGGTCGGCCCAGGAGAAACCTAACCCCTTCCTCAGGCGCTCACATTTTCATATTCTTATTTGTATCGAACTTTTAGTTTTTGATTTTCATTTTTGTTTTAGCCCTTGAGGAAGGTTTTTTTACAAACCGAAATATTGGGCAGTTTGTTTAAATACATATTGTTTTGTTTTATTCTTTTGTCTACTTCTTCATCGCCTTGCCGTAAGGATCAGTTTGCCGTTTCATATTTTTCTAGGGGAATTACCTCATGTTGCTAAGCAACGTCTTCATCGTGACTGACGTCAAATTCATTACAGGTCAGCAGGTCCACATCAGCTTTAGCTGCCTTTTAAGTTAACCTGCTTTACCAAATAAACTATGAATGAATGAATGAGGAAAAGGAAACCTCTTCAGATAACTCTTATTAAAACTGAGCCGGCAGAGAACTATTCTCTCCTTTAAAACATGCACACAAACAAAAGAGCCTCATTGCCATGTCCGCCACCGCAGATAAACTAACTCTTATTCCGTAGACTGAAGATTAAGTCCTGTTTTTTAGAGTTATCACTCATTTCCACCCTTCAGAAATGACCTTACAAGAAACCGTTTAAGTGTTTAAGTCCTGCAGTAGAACCTAAATTTCAAATTGTAATGGGTAATGAGGCCATTTTACAGTTGCCTGCTGAGTGTACACGAGGCTGGGGATTACCTTGTTTCCATCGAAACTTCACCGCTTTTCTAGCCTGCGATTTCTTAAGATATTAATAGGTGAAAAGTGTCACGTGACCTATTTTGCTTAATTACTAATTAAATAAAAACGTGAGTTAACCATTCTGGCCAGATTCAAGCGAGAAATGATGATACGATAACAAAAATACTGTACTGTATTTAATATACTGTATACTGTTTGGCGTCTCGCCACCCCATTTTTAGTTTTCTTTTCTTTCCTGGACTCGACCATAAGTGGTCACGTGACATAGATATCTGATTTCTTACGTTACAGGAAAACTAAGGTTACCAATTTTTCCGAGGTTGCCAAATCTTGGAAGGTTCTGATAAATTTTCACAAAGTTATGATCATTATAAGATTTTATGCAAATTAGCCTTAGGCCATGCTTTAACATGCTTGAGAATGGAAAAAATGTCGAGAACACATCTCTAAGTACCATACAAGTCTGGCTTGAGCTATACCAAGGAGGTTCATTTGTAATACAGCCAATTTTATTGAGGATCATGGTCAGGTTGCGCATAAACAATAAGTTAGGAAAGCATTTTTTAGTACAGAGTCACTACGACCACCGCAGGAAGAGTGGTATATGCTTCTTACTTTTAAGTCTAAATCCCTTAATATCTGTTAATATTCAACGCAAATATTAACTCAAGAGCAGAATTTCTGTTGATACAATGATATACGTAATTTACCGTCAAGGAAGAACTCGCTTTTTGTGCCAAAGTCTGGGTTAAATTATCGTTTACCCGACCGACCTTTTTTAAAGTCAGCTGGCTTGGCCAAAAGCGCGGGAGTTTCAACTGCGGTTTAAGCAAACACCCATTAGAATAAAAAAGGTGTTATTGGCTTTCAAAATATGTTGTTGATGTAAAACCTTGAAATGAATCCGTAACAAGGTAAAGGCTGTCGTATTTTTATCACACAGCTTTTAATTATGACTTATAAAACGATTTTGATTGAAATTATATAACGCCTCATCATGAAACTTCATGAAAAGTGAGTTTTTACAAAGGAATACGCGAACTTTATTGATGTCAGAAGAAAACAAAAAATATATATATTTTATTTATTTACCGTTTTTAGTAGAGAAAAATGACCACATATCCTCTTAAGCACAACTATACATTTTTATGGACAATTAGTAACATCGTGATTACTAAGGAGTCAAGGAGTTTTTAAAAATGAATTTGTCATTCAGTAAGAAATAATGTGTTGATAGTTTTGAAATTTCTTTGGCAAAAAAGGTTTGCACACTTTAAAGATAAGAAAAATGAAAGAAAAGTTTGTGTTTTCAGGAAAAAACAATCGTTTGTTCGTTTTTCGGCGTTAAGAAGATAATGAGGCACTAAGTATAATACGTTTTGAAGAAGTTCATTTGAAGTATTGTTTCTGTGAACTAATTTGAAAAATTGAAAAAAGGAAATGTCGTTGGTGTTATTCAAAACAAGCAGATGGTTTATTTCAATGGCTTCATTAGGAAACTGTAGTAAGGTGTGAAATGAGCTAAAAGACCACTATGCAGTAATGAAGTAAAGTAGAAACAGAGGGCTTAAATATCAGGACTACATCATCAATTAAATCAAAGCACTGAGCGTGTATTATGGATTAGCTAGAAATTTTTTATCGACCAATCACAATCACGCTCTTGTATGACATCAGCTGTGATAAAGGCATCATGCTTGCTACATCTTTTTGAAAAGTCAACTGAAGATGGCTCACTGGTGAAATTTGCATCTGTAGTTTTTAATATCGAACTTGATCGTCTGTACCTTCAAAGGACCATCTCTCACCAGAGGCTATGGCTGATTTTACAAGGTAATACTTCTACGCGGGAAAAAGTAAAAAATCTCTTTGCCGCGGGGCAAACGACGCCCGTCAAGAATTTTTTTATTGCACGTTCGTTATTTTCGTTGTCTCAGGAAACACAACCGGGTGCGGGGAAATGAAATAAAGCACCTAGCGAGTGAACTTACGATCAGAACAACAGTACCCAAACATTTCAATACAAAATACCCGCGGGGGATTTTCTTGATAGTATAAGGCAGGTCGTCTTTTAATTTTTATTTTATTATTTAAGAGAGATCCTTTTCAAGTGCATCTGTATGGGAGAAATTGTCAATGTAACTATCAAACGCGCGCGGCCGGTTAAAGCACTCACTATTTTGCGAGTCTATTGAGACTTTAAAGGTATCATTATCGATCTGTTCAGGTTCGCGCACTCGATAAAAAAGGTAAGCAAGGGTTGATACTTTACAACATCTGCATGTGAATAGTTCTCTTTATCTCTTGATGACCTGCATGTGATGTAAATGTGACTAAATAGAAAAATTGCGGCTATTGAGAACTCGTAAGATGAAGATGAGAATGATATATATAAAAAAAGAACTGTCCAACGCGAAATTGATCTCAAGTACCTAAAACTGCAAGCAAAAATTTCATAACTGCTGCGTCGTTATAAAAGAAGCAACCATGTTTATGTAGTGAGTCGGCTGCCGATTGCTAGATACAAATAAAATGATAGAATTTAACGACAAAAGCTAAGGACTCCCGGGTTGAAATTCAACTCTCTCTATATGACTCGAATGTAACACCGCATTTGTCATACTTATACCTGATAGGTATGATAAAGTTATCTGTTAACTTCTGACGTTTGTTTGAGGATCGTCAAATATAACCCAGCAACCTTTTAAGATAGCAACGACCCGCGTTTTTTCAGTGCTAAAAATGGCTTTAGATAGACAGTCCGCTATTGACTTTATTTGCGCACCTGTAGAGGTGAGATTTATTGAGTAAGAGGCCATCATTGGGCCGCCGCGAAATAGGCGCGTAAGCTTATGAACCTGACAGAATATTATTTTCATTCTGGCGTCGAAAGAGAATTTTAAACAGGGTCTGTTTGTTTGTTATTTGCAGAGCAAATGAGTCCTTTTCAACTCCTGCAGTTTTCAGCAATTAGCGTCTTGGAGAAGATTCGTTCACTCGAGACACAAAACAGTAAAACAGCCTGTACAACATGGAGGAAAAATCAAGGTTCTCTGCCCTAGTTCGCTACTTCAGGTCGTTGAAAAAAATGGCGTGTAGTGGCAGCAGAGCTTCTGCACATATCACACAAACTACACAAACTGTCGTGCTTAACCGTGAAATTGTGAACAAAATAACGCGACCTATCCATTTATTGACGGCTTTTATAGGCCATCGGAGTAAACATCATCCGATATTGGGAACATTTGGCCTGGTGTTGTGGATTTTGAATCTGGTGTGCCACTTTTCTCTGGATTTCTACGAAGCGGCGCATATATTTGGTTGGGCTTGGGCGACGGCGATAGGCTTATTTTTCGTGTCGTTCAGCTCAGGGACGTACATGCTGATTTCTGATACACTTCCATGGTTAGAGGACGGCTTAGAGATTTTAAACGTGGACGGAAATTTCTCCGAAACACTGGCAAAAGCCCATGCCATTGCTTCGGTAAGTGATATATTCTTATCAAATAAACGGGAAATGAGAGTCAAAGGGCCGGCAGTTTTGATTCTCTCTGACTCTCATTTGACTACCTTCTTCGAGTTCAACTAAATAATTGCAAACAAATGAAAAAAAACAAAACGCTTCGTCTCAACACTAACATCATTTATTTAAAAGCACTGTATTTTTTACCATCGTATCGGCGTTTATTCGCCAGTTTTTTAGCATTTTCAAGACGCCCAAATTAACGAGGCCAAGCAAGTTTCTGACACTGACTGAAGAACCGCGCCGCAATATCTTATATATTTGCTTTCATCATATGAATTTTTCTTCTCTCATTTATTTCGATTAATGCAAACACATTCATTTATTCTATTTTGTGTTTAATTTAAAATTATTGGTTGTTATTTAAAATCCCGCTGTAGATTAGCCGTTGTCTGAATTGATTCATATTTAAGCCAAGAAAGAACACCCTTTTTGTCCTATTTAATGGCTGAAATTGTACGGATATGAGGAGAAGGACGAGTAAAAATTCTTATGTCAACAGACAATCGATTCTTTCTTAACTATTCGCGCACGAAGTTTGTATCGTTCAACATCCTTGAAAGTCACCTGTCAAAAACGATTCATGTCATCGTTGGTCGTCAAAAAATTAAAACTCTTTTTCAAACAGCTCACATTTCAATGACAATAAAATGTCGGTGAAAATTGCGCTACTTCCGTCAAATTATAATATAATTCTCGATATTTTTCGACGAGGCCCAACTTAGCTGAAAGTAATAGGTAAGTATTTAACAGTATATTGCAGTCCTTTGTTTCTCATTCGGTTACTTTAACGGTTCAACCAGTAAAATAACATATCAAATTAACGCTTTAATAAAAAGTGAACTACTCCCGGCCAAATTTGCTTCGGGCCCGTAAGAATATTGCTGGACAAAAGAATTCAGAAGTTTAGTTAATCCAAGGTGAATTATTTTCATTGATTTGGGTCTACTTAATTCTTAAAATAAGTCGTTCAGCGTTTACATGTGATATTATTATTTGTTATAAGGGATATTTACTTCTGCAATCAGTATTTACTTATGCGAATTTTGCCAGTAAATAACTACAGTCATTTACATTTTATTCATTTATCTTCTGACAATAGCAGTTGAGGCAATGGCAAGAAATAAATAGTCGCTGTTTCCGACGCTGCAAAATCGGTGTTTTGGCGTTCCGGCCAAAGCCGGCTTGACAATTCTGAAACTTGACTGAATTACAAAACTGAGGTCAAATTTAGGTTTCAGCGACACGTGTCGTATATTAACTTGGTCAAGGCTTTCATTGATATTCAAAACTTCAACGATCATTTTACATCGATCAAAACAAATGAAAGCTGCCTATTTATGTGGTTTACTAACTTCATGCAGTGTTCATGAGCCACATGAAGATTGCGTACAATTTCAAGATGAGCGTTGCTTCTCATTTTCAGTATAAAATACGGAAATATCTATCAAATTAATTATTCAACATTACTGGATTCGTAATTAATTCGTTTTGAAAGACAAAAAAAATGATCAGCAATTATTTTCCTTTCTTGAACCCAGTGGTTTGCCAATAACAACAAATGTTTTTATTTTCGAAAAGTATAGCTCTAAACTAAACTAATCTGATGTCATTTATAACACTCGGTGAAAATATAAAAGTAAGCTATTCTAACAAACTCAGCTGACTTTGCAACCTTTTGATCATTTGCTGGAACTGATGAAATACTGCCGAACGTTTAATTTGCCTTCTAACAGGGGGTCTATGCATGGTACAGCTGTGACATTTAAAGTCACAGTGGTGTTCGAAAATTCTAGAACATGTAGATATTTTAGACATTTACGCTCTACGTTCTTTAAAAATTAATGGCTACAAACGATGGGCTTTTTTGCTGTCGCTGTCTTGCATAATAAATTTCTTGGTTTACAATCTCCTGGTTATTTCCTTAGGGCATCGTTAAAATCCACGTAATGGTTGCAAACAAACAAACCATAAAAACATAAACGACTTCCTAAAACAATTCTTAAAGATAAATGTTTTTATTTTTCTGCATTGAAAAAACTGCCGTATTCCACGCAAAAATATCAAGACGACAAGGAGATCAAGGGCATTGTAATTATGCATAGAGTCCACTTTTAGTAGCCAGTCCAAAGGATATTGAAAACATGCGAAAAAAATAACAACATGATAGTTTCCTTTCTAGCCAACAGAGGAAAATTTTAAATCTCCTAATATTATCTGTACCTTTGGACGGATCAGTTTTAATCAGAAACGTTAACGCTGCCGCTTAAAATGAAAATAATTATCCTTTATTTTCCACACAGTTCTAAACTGGGATCCCTACTATTACGTAAGGCGCGTGTTTAGCTATCAAATATTTGCAGTTAATCGTCTTCCTCCAAATAAGAGTCAACATTTTTCACTGAATCACACTTTTTGAAGTATAGTTGAGTCCAAACATTGTAGTCATTGAAGGGACATGAAATTAAACTTTAATTTTATCTCCCTACAATGAGTAGAATGTTTGGAGTCAGCTATACTTCAAAAAGTGTGATTGAGTTCGCAGATATTTTTATCCTACGGACACCATGTTGAGAGTAAAGAACAATAACAACGGCACTTGACACGAGATCTATTGTGGATAATTTCTGACGCCCGAATTAGAAATCTTGAAGCCTTGGAGATGAAATTCAAAGTATGTATTTTTAACTTTGCTGTTCAGTGTTTACTGACAATTGTTTAGAACGGCGGTACCGCCTTTTAAACCATTGAGTACATTTAACGTCACTCATTATCATCTTGGTATTTTTAAAACAAAAAAAAATCCAAATTGAGAGAAGGATAAAAAAAATCATTTTCCAAGAAAATAAAGAGGAAAAAGTTCCAAGCAAAAGCACTGTTGAAGAGATTTCGTTTGAATGGCCACAGCACAGGATTTCACCTACGAAGCTAAAAATTATACTTACACCATGCAATTATCCGTAAGCCAGTATTTATAGAATAAAGAGCTGTTAATATCCTACACATGCGACAATTTATAAAAAGGAGCGCAATTAAAAGTTTGAAAGCTCCCGACATTGGTGTAAATTACAACATGTTCGTTAATTTCATTAGTTTCAGCTAGAGAGTAGTGGATATTATGTCCTCTAGTCCTCTCAGTGGCTCACTAATGAAGCAATTTTGATATGTAAAACCCCAGTTGGCGATCAGTAACTTCAAATTACATATACTGCAAAACATAGTAGAGGGGACTGGTTATGAAAGCCGGCAACATCAAAGTTGAAGTAGTTTATGTTAGAAGCTCCCTGACCCTGCAAGAGGGACGCATAGAGTATCATTCGTTATGCACTTTAGTAGCAAAAAAGTTGTCTTTTTGTTACAAATATGGTCAGTTATCTGGCATAAAATCCACTTTCTATGTTAAACGTAACGTGTATTTCAGGTGCCTTATAGCAAGAGAGTTTTTTGGAAGAGAAAATGAGCAAGAGAATATATTCACAATCCGTTTAACGAGAAGGCCTGGGAAGACGCCTTACAGGGAATCGAGGAAATCATAGATAGTAGAGGAGACTGACGGCAAATATTAAGAATAAATACGTCGAAACGTTGTCGAAACGCCAGTCGCTGTCAACAACAACAGTCCTATTCAGGACTACGTTCACCCGGAAAGAGTGTGATGCGGGCTCAGGCAGTTTAGTTTACAGATAAAAATTATAAAATGTAACCATTTGCTTGCCGAACGCACTGCTTACGGCACAATTGTTTATCAACGCTACGCTATTAAAGATTGCCATCAGCTTTCGAAAGATCACTTTAAAAGTCAAACAACATATTCACACTCGTGGTTGTGATTTCTTTGTTTCGCAGTGGATACGCTTGGCGATTAAGGCTGGTTTTCACTAGCCACAAAGTCGCAGTCGGAGTCGGAGTCGTAATCAGAAGCGTAGAGTTTATGATCTAGGGTGAGTTCGATTGGGAAATGTGGATTTAGATTTCAAAATCCTGATTTCGGATTTGCAATCGAACGCGAAATCCGATATCTGTTTTCGGATTTCCTTTTGACCGTTCGATTGGGAAATCAGAAAAAGGATTTAGAAAAACTGTCCTTAAGAACAGCGGTCATGCACGTGCACGCATAATTAGTAAAAAGAAGACCGCTGTTCACGAGAATAGTTTTGCAAATCCTTTTCCGGATTTCCCATTGGAACGGTAAAAAGGAAATCCATGAAATCCGCATTTGGATTTCTTCATTGAAATCCACACTGGGACGGATTTCTCGGAGTTGAAATCCGTTTTCGGATTTCGCGTTCGATTGCAAAATCTGACATCCGGATTTCTAAATCTAAATCCGAATTTCCTTATCGAACGCAACCCTGGCGAAAACAGCGTTCCGATTCCTCTTACGATTCCATCGCTTACGTTTCGCTTATACCTTGTGAAAACCAGATTGTCGGAGTCGGAAGGAGAAGCGGAAGAACTAAACCAATCACAAAGCGTGGAAACGTGCCTTGTGATTGGTTTATCCTTCCGCTTCTGCTTCCGACTCCGACAATCAGGTTTTCAGTAGATCAAAAGCGGAACGTAAGCAACGGAGTCGGAAGAAATGGAAACGTTCTGACTATTCTGAATCCGAGTCCGTCGCCCTTATGACTCCGCTTACGACTCCGACTCCGTCGCTAGTGAAGACTAGCCTTCAGCAAGTATCTGTCGCGACGCGCCCTTTTTGAACGCAACCGTGACTTGTCCGCGTGAATTGAGTATTAAAGGTGATTTTGCATTGCCAGGCCGGATATTATTGGCTGAAAACTATTTCACGGACTTTTTTTTCTGCCAATCAGAGCAAACAGCCGAACCAATCATGACTCGGTTACACGCTTTTTATCGCGCTCTGCGTCGGCTGCATCTGATTGGTTCATTCGATTTAGTCTGGTGCGGTTGGCTAAAGTTAACTGTAAAAGGTGCTCACTTCGATTCTTGTTTGAGAAATTCTAGTTAATAAATGAATCATTTGCTTAAGGCATTTACTAAATTTTAATATTTCTTTAATTTAGAAACTGCCCTGGCTTCTACCCGTCTTCAGCGTGCTTGCAGCGTGCGGGCAGTACGTTTGTTATTTCATTGACGATGCAGTGCAACTTGATCTAGGCAAGCCTTGGCTGAGCGTGCTCCTTAACATCATAAGAGTTTTCAGCTTGCTTCATGTGCTATACGGCTATATATTGTTCCTTGTGATCGTTCTATTCGTAATGTATGTAACTGGCGCCTCAATGAAGGAATTCAGAGGTAAAAACTTGTTTGTTTGTCACTTTGTTTGCCTTTTAACCAACATCATTCTCTCTTGTCAACATGTATTGGAAGTGTAATAGAGTAAAGCCCAGCGCGTTAGACCTTAGATAGATGGTTCCACGAGCCCTCATATAAACTGCCATCCAATTATTTTCCTTTTGTTCATATTCAGGTTCCCATACATAGTTAACGACATAATGTTAATGGTAACCTGTAATGAAATGGCATCCCATCATGATCTAGAGAATGTAAAAATTGTTCTACGAGACCTCGCCCTAATTCCACCCAAGGCTCCTTAGAGTGTCTCAAATCTATGCAGTTTCGTTATTTTGTACTCTTAGCAATGAAAACACCACAAAATCTTACTCTTTTCCTATTAATAAGGAGCATAGCCTCTTCCAGGCTCCAAGATAGTGGAGAAAGCAGATCGAAAAAAATTGCGCGAAAACCATGTGGGGGCTGGGGAAAGACAAACAAGGGGGGCGGGGGACAGGTTATAAGGAACACGACAAGTAACCTTCTTGTCTTGCTGATTTTAGACGGTGTCGAGAGTGAGTTTCGCGAGCCTCACGTCCGGTTGACATTCCGCGAGGCTGTTCAGCTGTTTGAGCACCGATCTCAATTCATCAGAAGATCGTCAGACGCCTGTTTGGTAAGCATTTTTACCTACTATTCCTCTTTTGTTGTTTCTTTTATTAATGGGGCTGAAGAAACCTAAATTTTGTACAAATAAAACTGATCCACTGCGGAAACAAACTAGAAAAAGACTTTTCCAAATGTCTGGCGTCGCTTTTCAAAAAGTTATCACGGGCGCCCGTTTGTCGTTAACTCCGCTATCTTGAACTATAGTTTCGGCATGAATTGACCTTTCCTCAGGAGTCGCATTTTCAAACTCCGCGTGGGATGAAGTTCCGCCAAGTTTGCAATAGCCATCAGAAGAGGAGATCACCGTTCCCAAAACAGTCCCATAGTACAATTCGCCACAAAACCGACCCAGTCTTTCTCTACAAACTCAAAATGGCTAATATGTTTAAGACTCTTTATGAACGGTGTAGAGGTGACAAAAAGAAAGGGTAGAAAATAGAAGGACGGTCGGGGTAAGGAAAGTGTTGGTCATTAAACGAGACTACAAATTCAAACAGAAATCGTAAAACGGGCTGGGCGCTACGTAGTCTTAACCATGCTAAAATTGTAGACCCAGTTCAGTCTTATCTCATAACTTTTTTACTAGTTCTTCCTTATGGCTAATTATTCAAAGGCCTCGTATCATTACTAGTGTAACGCATAAGTGATGATGGAACCAAGTTTATATATCTTAACCACGAAGAACTGGTTTGCAATTTTTTTTTTCGTACTCTTTCTAGTTTATACTGTGTAACCTCGTCCTGACGACAGTTCTTTCGTTTGTCATCAACGGCTATAACTTTTTATTCTTTAACCGACGAGCAATTTATCTTTGGTTTGCGATGGTTCCCATGCTATGGAGCGCAGCACCGCTGATCTTAGCAGCGTGGGCGACAGAAAACTACCAGGCTTATGTTGCGTCGGTAGTGAGATCCTGGGGTGAGCATCCGGAATCGGACGAAAGCGAGTCGGAGGGGGAGGACATGGACGAGTATCAAGAAGCGATGAAAAAGCTCAAGGTCAATCGTTCTCGAAGCGTTCTCATAGCAAGCACAAATTTATTAAAAACGCTCACGCGCAAAAGACTCATTTTACGACAAGACAGGCGTATGTCTGTCGCGGCCATGAGAAGAGAATCACAGCTTAGCGAGGCCAGAGGCTCGCTGGTAGACGATGCTTCATCAAACGGAACCAACAGAAACCTCTTGGGAATCCAAAACCCACTACGATTGGTGGATATGGAGACCGGAAGTGAAGACACGTTTGCGGACTCACCGATGCCTTCGACTTGCATTCTAAACCCGAGTTTCACACCAAACCCAATGAATCCGCCTTCTTCGGGAGACAAAAAGAAGAAAAGCAAGTTTAATTTCAAATCCTATGTGATGTACCTACAGGGACTTATCAAGGAAGTTGGGTTTTCCGTAGGGGGAATGATCCTAAGTTGGGAAAAAGTTTCCAGTGTTGGAATATTGTGGGTTTCGGTATTGGCAATCTTCATTCAAGAAATCGTGTTTGGAAACAGAAAAAGCACACTGCTGACGTGACACAAATACAAAACACTTTTCACAAATTTGTAAATAGTTTTGTACTAAATATTACCACCCGATGCACACGTGTGTCTTAGCCGTCAAAGATACATCTGTTGTAGTTATTTTTTTTGTCTCAGTTAACTTTTATTTCTCCATTGTTTTTGGGTATGGTAATAACTGCTAATGAATTTGAAACAAAGGAAGTATAAAAATTAACTGAAATAAAAAATTAACTGCAACACATCCAAGGCAATACATTTTTACGACACTGGGATGAAAACCGATTTACGGAGAAACCCCAAATCAAATTTGATCTGCGCGCAGGAGTTTTCCTGCGCGTGGTAGCCGTTTAAGCCTGACAGTCATCTTCCACCGACCTACCTGCGTCATGGCCGCCGGTACTGCCTGACATTGAGCCAAATCAGTGGTGGTGCAGAATAAAAGTTGACAGCCACAGATGCAATCCGAGTAGTCTAACCACCGGTGTGCCTCAGTGTGTACAATAGACTTTTTCAGAGTTGCCTCAAGCTTCTGTTTCAAAGCGAGGCTAAGTGTAAAGCCATTGATATGAAAATGCTTTTTATTCTCATATATAATTTATTTTCACTCAGCCTCGTTTTGAAACTGAGGGTTTTTGGAACTCGGAAATGGCCTATTTCGCTGTAGAGACCCACGGCAGTTCTTATCGTCAGCGACGTAAGCTCCCGTATGTCGGAACCATATCCCGGCAGGCAGTAGCGGCGGCTATTTCGCGCGGCGGCCTGAAAGACTCACGCTTTACTTCTGAGGGGTGGATCGGTGCTTTTACTATACCCAAGTAATGATTTATAGTCACGCTACTGTTGGCCACTGGATCAGACAGACTTTGCGATGTTCTAAATCAGGTTTTATGGTTTACGTGTAAAATTCTGACTAGGGTTCCGCGTAAAGTCAACCCAAGGAAAGAGCAAACACTGCGAGGCTGGAAAAGTAATGTAATGTCTAGACAAACATTTTCAGAAATACTTTTCATTCCATTCAAAGATATTTTACAAACATATATACAATTCCTAAGATAAATAAAATTGTAAAAAGCCTTAACTACTGCATTTCTATTCAAAAGGTTACCACTACACAAAATGATGAAAACATTCCGAAGGGGCAACCTGGTTGCCTTTCATTGGTTGGTTACCTTTCATTGAGAAAATAGAAAACAAATAACCTAATTCTGAAAAACAAGAGATAGCATAGATTGTTCACAGTCCCCTATTTTCCCGTAAGATCATCGCGATCGAGGGCAGCCATCTTGGTTACTGAGGGGGTGAGGAGGTCCCCCGCCCCTTAAGTAGATTTGACGGAGGCAGCGTGGGAGCGTGGCCGAGCGTTTAGAGCGCTCGGCTTGTAATCCGGAAGCCCCAAGTTCAAGTCTCGCTCTAACCGCTAGCTGGATTTGTTCACGGTAGTCACGAGTTCAAATCCTCGGCCATGCTTGTAAAATAGCCAGCTGGTTTGTCTCCTACCCGTTGAGATTCTTAAACATATTATGTTTCATTTGAATTATTGTTTCATTATCACTGAAAATCCCCATAAGGGGAGTGGATAATTAAGCATTTATTATTATTATTATTATTATTATTATTATATTATTATTTATTTGTTTTTAGCAGTTGAAAGAAACTTTTGAATTTTAGAGGTTGCCATTTTTTTTATTGAAATGAAATGTTTTTAATTCGAATAAATTTTTCTTAGTTAAATTAACTTTTTTTAAGCTAAATTAAGTGCTTTTTGAATCGACAGGAATTGTAAATAGTGTTTTTGAATGAATAGTTTTTGCTTTTTTTGAAGCGAATTAATTGTAAATAGGATTTTAATAGTTAGCATTGTTGTCAATAAAATTTTTTCCATTATATTATTATTATTATTATTATTATTATTATTATTATTATTATTATTATTATTATTATTTGATGCTCATCCCCAGGCTAGATTCGGTAAATTGAAATAAAGATGGCCGCCATCCCAATCCAATGATCTTACAGAAAAATAGGGGACTATGAGCAGCCTGGAGATTGCCTATACAACGTTTATTCCACGATCCCTACCCCACACCACTTTGTCACTTTAGGGGGGTCCTATAGAGGAGCACCATGACGTTTGCCATACCCTTCTTTTTTCAGTCCTATCTTGGCTCTGACGTCATCCTGTGTCCATTTTCTCTACTTGACTGGCAAGTTTTGGACCGCATTCTGTACACATTTTATCAAATATATGTTTAATATATTCATCCCTCTCGTGCAACTGTCGTCTGAGCTCCATTATTTCCGCTGTTCTGGAGTCTAACTCTTCGTCCTTTTTCAACAACTTGGTTCTAAGTTCAATGATCTCGGACGCCTGCTCTTTGACTTTTTCATGCAGGTGAAGACCCATCTGCTGCAAAATCCCCAAAGGGGACATTCAGAAATGTGTTAGCAACAATAAAATGTAACCATGATATCTACAAACTTGCTGCTCTCTAACTACTCTTACTTGTTAGAAGCAATGACCGCTGGGGCCCGAGACAGAGTTGTGATATTCGCAAAGGCTGGTGTACTACATCCTTGTTCGTCGATGGTGAGTCGCTAGAGCATAAACTACGAGACCACGGTCGCGAGCGACGTATAGTGCTCAGTAACCTAGCCTTTGATTACAAACGTCCCCGCCTAAATTACGCAAAGCATGTTGAACAATACAAGCTAGCTTAAGAAGAAAATGTTTTGCATATGAAAACTGGATAAACAAAGTCTGCCAAAGTCAACTTAAGTTTCGCTTTCACTTTAACAAACCTTGGCTATGACGGGTACCATGTTTTGACCTTCGTTAAAAGTACATTCGATTGATGACTACCTAGTTTGTTAGAAAGGCCACAACTCGGCCATTTTAAAAACATTACAGAAAAACCTCAAAAACTAAGACGATCTCGCAGAGGAAGCTGCTTCTAGTGTTTGCCCACTTACAATCTCGTCTTATTCTGCATTACAACAAAATTAACAGTTGTCTTACCGCTTGTTTTTCTTCGAACAAACTCAGCTCCAGAAGGGACTCTGCCGTCGGTCTGTTACTGGGATTTTCAGCAGTCATCTTTAAGATCAGCTTAGACTAAAACGGGAAAAAGAATAAAATGCATAGTGGTAAAATTATTGGTAAGAATGTTTTGCAAGAAGCAAAGAGAACCACAGTCTGAATACACGCGCGCTGCTTTAAACACGAAAAGACATCGTATCCCAGTCATCAACAAGATCATCATTAAAAGTGGTCAACATTTCGATCATCGTCATCACCATCATAGGGCGCTTTCCAAAAGTCAAGACGGCGTAGGAGAGAGCTATCCTCGTCAAGAAAGTTATTGATTCTTAAGTAAGCTATCTTACGTTGGCATTAGCATACCTTTTTTCCCTTACCGAATAAAAACCTTACCTCTTCAGGCCATTTATCACAAAACTCCTGAGGTAGTTTGCCTTGTCTGAGGTCCTTGATGTTCGTTACTCGTTCCATCTCCGTGCCAAATGCACAGAGCAATTCAAACAAGATGATCCCTAAGCTAAAGATATCCGCCTAGACGTAAAAAAGGAAAATAAAACCGACGTGTTAGAATCGTAATAACCACTTCGAAGAAAAAAAGAAAACTGACTCCTCTTACAACTGGTTCAGATGCTCACTGAGGGTTCTTCTTAGAAGGCTTTGGTCCATGCTTCCAAATAATCGAATGAAATATAGACGTACTTGAAAAATTGGGAGGGAAAAATCAAAACCACCTATCGCCGCGTGGACGAGGGTGGTGCAGTAGTGAGAACACACGCCTCCCACCAATGTGGCCCGGGTTTAAGTCCCGGCGTTGACGCCATATGTGAGTCGGCGGTTGGTTCTCTCCTTGCTCCAAAAGGTTTTCTCCGGCTACTCCGGTTTTCCACTCTCCTCAAAAGCTAACACTTCCAGTTTCCAAATCGATCAAGAACGCACGGGCACGTTTAAAAAAGTTCTGAAGAACTCCTCAGTGACTCGGGCAAAAACTTACATTATAATTACATACTAGGGAAAAATCTCCGGTTTCAAAACTATTCGGATACGTGTGGACAGGGCCTTCCTTAGTCAAGACTCAGAATCCGTGAAGGACTCCCTTAAAGCAATATTTCGGAAGCCACGGCCGTTAACTAAGGATTATTATAAAAATCGAAACTCAAAGGGTCGTTCTTTACCTTGTTGTCATAATTGGTGTTCCTCAGCTGCTCAGGCGAAGCGTACGTGCAGGTACCCACACCGACTGTTGGAGCATCTTTACCCGAAAATCCTGAAAAATTATGGGGAAAAGGAGTGGATTAGTTTATTTAAATGACCGATAGATACTCGCTGTTTCATTCACGACTCAAAGCCGAGGTTTCATACGAAAAAACACGCGCACTAGAGGTTAAGGAACGCGTTTACGGCATATGGCGAACGGAACTCAAGGAACGGAAGTCAAGGTTCCGCCCCTCTCCGGGGTGCTATGGCGGCGGGGCGGGAAAAGGAAGGATAGCTTGCAACAACGTCTCTGGAATTTGAACTCCACCTCCAAATCCCCTGCGGCTCCACGTCGACTGAGCTGTCAGATTTCCGCCAATCAGCGGGAAGCGGAAACGAGTGCGAATGTAAGCAAGCATTGAAAAACACGTGCCAAGGGTAATGACGTCATTACTAATGTCATCTCCGCCAATCACCATTTAGCATCGACTTTTTCGGTGCAGATATTCAAGTTCATGAGACGTAGTTGCAAGCTCTCCTTCCTTTCCCCGCCCTGCCGCCAGAGCCCCCCACAGAGCTTGCTCACAGGCTAAATTAAGGATCCCTTCTGTGATCTACCATGAAATACATGAATTTTTGCATAAATATTACCTCAACATGCAAGAGAAGAATATACTACTATTCGCCACTTTAGAGACGAGAAGGAACCTGGGCTAAGTTTAATTTCGCAAGGACTTCTAGGACTGTTACAGAGGGCAGGGGGAAAAATGAGCTCAGTGTTCGACACTAATTTTCCTGCTAACTTGCCCTCTGGGCAACTATGTCGCTAGTTTTACTTTCCGAGTGTATTTTTTGGTTGCCCCCAAAAAATCACCAGCTCGCTTTGCTCGCAGTTTCACTGAATTTTCAATACTTATGCCTTCTAACTTTAATGCCTAGCATAAATCCCAAGCGAGAGGTCATACGGTACCATTGCCTGCTAACCGTAAAAAACTTCAAGTTTATTTCATTTTAATCAACACAGTCATGCTTGAATGACGTTTACAATACATATGATAGGCTTTTTGTTGGGGGCTCCTTAAAGACGTTGATTGATAGGGCGCATAATACAGTCATAATCGAATCTTTGTTCTCTCTGATTTGTTTGTCTTCACTCTTTGAAGAAATAATAAATCACTGATCTTATGATTGAGTCAATGTTCAATCTGGGACATTGTTTTCACAGTTTAGAAGGCATAAAATAAGAGTAGTTAGGACATTCCTCATAACTTTTTTTGTCAGCAATTTCGGGAAAAGAACAGCAAATTTTGCACTTCATAATGTTCTTCTCTTCATCGTGTACAAGCCAAGGAAAGTTGCGCTCCATTTTCGATCTCCTTTGCTTTTCCCAGCGAAGACTTCTGGTTGAGATTCAGCTTTTCTCTTGTCTCCTGGTTCCTTAAGCTTTGTAGAATGTAACTGTTGTGTTGCTTGGATGTCCTCACTTTTAGTGACTGTGTCCAGTGACTTCCGCGTAAAACCAAAACGAAATAAACTCATGGTTGCTGGCAAGTACTTGAAAGGACTGCGTACAAACTTACCCATGAATACTTGCTCGTGAAGAAAAACATGGCGGAAAACGAAATACTCAATGTATCGGCGTAAGGACCCGTCACTGTACTTGTTTTTCATTCTCCTTCTACGTTCACCTGACTAAAATTTCAAAAAAGGGATCGGGTGATTTTGCTGCAGCTGTTGGATTTTATTCTTGTCCCAGCGGCTCGAGTGTTATCCTTAACCACTTGCCCAAACGGGCGACCTGTGCAACTTACACACCTGCCCAACGCATAATTCCACTTGCCCCGGGCAAGTGGGCAAGCGTTAGTGTCGAACACTGCTGAGCTGATAGCTGACCGGCGCGTAACTGAAAACGATCCCAAAACCTACTGCGGGATGCATTTCAGCTCCAATGACCTTCTACTTTCTGAAGTGGTCAATTAGAACAGAGCCTTCCTTTTGAGACTTAAGGTCAGCTAAGTTAACTGAAAAATCTTCCTACCTGGCGGAAAGAGAGGAGTAAGCGGCTCAATTAAACTGACCAGCGGACTACTACCCCCAGGACTCACGACCACTTCTTTCCGAGCTAAACCAAAGTCCCCGATTTTAACCTGGAAAATAGTTGGTTGACCCCCTGTTTCATGCCGGTGTCCCTGGAGAAAGATGTTTCTTGGCTAGAAGAAAACAATAAAACAACAACCACAACCACAAATTTAGCAACGAAAATGAGTGAAGCATAACAAGGGTTTATTCTCTCTTGAGCATAACGTATCTGTGGACGTCTGTGAGCGGACAAAATCTTAATGGAGTGACCAATCAAGTGAGACCTTTTCAGCAGTATTTTCACAGGGTGTTATTTATTTTGTACGTAGTTCTACCTTTGAGTCTGTGGATGAAATCTTATGGTGTTACCATTCAAATGAAACCTCTTCAGCAGTACTTTCACATGGTACTATTTATTTAGTATGTAGTTCTAACTTTTGAATCTATGGATGCAATCCTGTGGGATGACCATTCAAATGAAACGTCTTCTTCAAATGTCTTTGGAAAGAGATTTGCAATCTTAGCATACCTTCAGATCTCTGTGAAGCAATGCTTGCGAATGAATATACTGTACTCCTTTCACAAGCTGGCGAAATATCACCATAACGGCTGCTCTGTCGACTTCATCGCCTAAACAGGGCAGAATCAAGTTAGAACCAGAACTTGCCCGCAAACCGCCATACGTGTGGTGGGTTCGAAAAACAGCACACGTGCTCAGGGTACCAGAAGTAATGACCAAGCATAAGCATATGTTAATGAGACAAAAAATGTAAACAAGGCTTCACCGAATCAATTTTTTTAAAAAAAGTAACACGTCTAACAGCTCACTCACCATTTGATGAAATTTCCTCGTTACGTTTTACCAGCCAGTCTCTGAGAGTTGTTGTACACAGTTGCATCTGTATGAAGAGAACCATCCCCAGGCGCTAAAACAGAAAACAAAAGCAAAAAACACCGATTTTCTTCTCAAACTTAAAAGATCACGAGTCCGTATACTAGTCTCTCTTACGCAATTGTTTTTTCTGTCGTCAAGCAATACTCCTGGTCACGCAACCCTCCTGGGAGTAGCATTGAGTTACCGGAAGTGTTGCGGGACGACACAAAGAAAGGCTGCGTCGAAGAGTACCTGTGTACTTGCTGCATACAGCTTGCAGAGGTTACTAATCTCAAAACCATAATAGCTGTATATTTTGTGGTGCAACTTATATCCTTTGTCTAACTTTTGTCTTCCTTTGTGTCAAACATTAGTGGATTTCTAGATCAAAGGCAATTGGGGCTTAGAGTCCGATAACAGTGGTCTTTATTAATTCACAGTGACGAGCGTAAGCAACGAGAATGCTGACGTACCGACGTCATGATTAGCAACCGGAAGTTCGATATCTCGCTTGATGGAATTTCCACAGGGTTGTCAGAAAGTTTTGAGGTAGACGGCTGAGTTGTCAAACTAAACGGCCAGTCCAGGGATATTTTATTTAAAAAACGCCATCCGTGAAGAAATGCCAAGCAGAGTAACCGGCCGATACTAACCAAGTAGGCGGCGATTTTCGCCGGCAGCTGGCTACCTTTGACAACCCTGATGGAACGCTTCTGTCTCACACAACGTATCTGAATGCCTTTGTTTTAAGGCCCGCTGTACGAATTTGTCGAGTCAGAGCACTGAAAGAGAGAAAATATTAACTTCCGGTTGCCATTTTTGACGTCCGGGACATCCACGTTCTCGTCGCTTAACGTCCCTAGTAACCCATAACGACGACATCTTAAGAGGACAAAAAACACATCATGCATGAAAGGTACCTTGTTGACTGAAGCACTTTTTAAAATGTTCCCTGACAAGGCATTTTCACTCTGTTCGCTGTGTTCCTCATCTACGCGGTCGCCGTGATCTATACCTGCCATGGATCCCAAGCTACTGCTGGAGGCCGATCGGCGTATACCGCGCTGTGACGCATGATATGGGGCCCTGCTACTACGGCTGCTACTAGCACTGCTTCTCAGGCTCCTTCTAACACGGCTCTCGGCTGCAAAGAAAGAAAGGAAGAAAGGAATGGGTCAGTCAGTCAGTCAATGAATAAATGGAAGAAACGAATGAGTGAATGAATATGCAACCAAATGAATGACTGAACGAATGAATGAAAGAGTTCATGAGTGAACGAGCGAACGAATGAATGAATGAAGTGAATGAAAGAAAAAGTTACAAATTTTTTGAAATTCGCGTTAATTTTATGAAGCGTTAATTTGCTATAGTAAGGTAAAGGAGAAAAATGCTTCAGCATATAATTTGTCTCAGGGCTTTTCTGACACGCCTTAACTTGGAACGAACTTACTATTTTAGGAAACGATGTGAAAATCTACTGGAACGATCTGACGTAAAAAAAGTTTATTGCATTTTTACGAATTATTCTATCCTCTCATCTGCATTTTTATTTTAAAATTATTTTATGCGTGACTGAGTATTACATGGAAGTCTTCCGTGTGATAAATTTTAATTTTAATTGTAATTGTATCTTCGTTGTATGCACATTTATCCAAGTCGGTAAGATCATAAATTCCGGAGGATTTGATTGAAATCACCCCAGTCCTCTAGGGCCCAAATAAACAGTTAAAGTTACAAATTACAAAATTTCAACGGAAATGTCATACCCTGGGCACTACGTTGCTGACTCCCTGTTCCAACTGAGTCAGTGCTTGATCTACGAGCTGAAAACACGATGCCGCTATTGGAGGGATCCTGAGAGGAACCCTCGAACACAATACTGCTTTGACTGTCTGTACTCACTTCCATTATTCTGAAAAGCATAACAGAGGTACCACAAGTTATGAAAAATCTTCAGGGAACAAAATCAGCCTCTATCAAGTATCACAAAACACAAAATGTACTGCTGTTGTTAGAGGTAAAACACTTTACCTATGAATGCCGTTAAGAGAGGAAATGTCACTCAGTTCCTTAAGGCTTGTGGGAAGGGTGGTTACTCCTAATGACAAATAATTGATAACACTTATCAGCCAAATTTATGACAGTGGACAAGTAAGTCAAAAATGGCCAGGTTCGTGGGACTACAGTGGGCTACTATTCCTCAGAAGAGACGGTAACCTTTCAATGTCTTCCTTCTTCAGAAACGTAATAATTTTTCCGAGCCATGCAATCTTCTATTCTTAAAATAAGTGTAATAAATTAGACTTACTTAATCTTTTTGAGTAATTGCCTGGCGACAATGAGTTTACATGGTCATTGAATGATACCCCAGCACAGGTGTCGAAATAGTAGTCACATGTATACTATATCAGCATCCATGAACTGGACAGGCTATTTGCTTNGCGTGACTGAGTATTACATGGAAGTCTTCCGTGTGATAAATTTTAATTTTAATTGTAATTGTATCTTCGTTGTATGCACATTTATCCAAGTCGGTAAGATCATAAATTCCGGAGGATTTGATTGAAATCACCCCAGTCCTCTAGGGCCCAAATAAACAGTTAAAGTTACAAATTACAAAATTTCAACGGAAATGTCATACCCTGGGCACTACGTTGCTGACTCCCTGTTCCAACTGAGTCAGTGCTTGATCTACGAGCTGAAAACACGATGCCGCTATTGGAGGGATCCTGAGAGGAACCCTCGAACACAATACTGCTTTGACTGTCTGTACTCACTTCCATTATTCTGAAAAGCATAACAGAGGTACTACAAGTTATGAAAAATCTTCAGGGAACAAAATCAGCCTTTATCAAGTATCACAAAACACAAAAATGTACTGCTGTTGTTAGAGGTAAAATACTTTACCTATGAATGCCGTTAAGAGAGGAAATGTCACTCAGTTCCTTAAGGCTTGTGGGAAGGGTGGTTACTCCTAATGACAAATAATTGATAACACTTATCAGCCAAATTTATGACAGTGGACAAGTAAGTCAAAAATGGCCAGGTTCGTGGGACTACAGTGGGCTACTATTCCTCAGAAGAGACGGTAACCTTTCAATGTCTTCCTTCTTCAGAAACGTAATAATTTTTCCGAGCCATGCAATCTTCTATTCTTAAAATAAGTGTAATAAATTAGACTTACTTAATCTTTTTGAGTAATTGCCTGGCGACAATGAGTTTACATGGTCATTGAATGATACCCCAGCACAGGTGTCGAAATAGTAGTCACATGTATACTATATCAGCATCCATGAACTGGACAGGCTATTTGCTTCCTTTTTGTATTCCAAAAATGAAAGTCCAGTTTTCTTTTTTAAGACAGTTAAATGGCAGGGTGCCACTTACTGGGTAATGCAGAGTTTACGTTGTCCGTGGTAACATACTCTAACCAGGCTGCATGATATCCAACGACATTACTGTGATTCAGATGTGCTAACACTTTAACTTCTCTTAATACCTATTGGCAGGATAAATTGAATATTACAGCACACATTAATGTCTTCCTCTTAGATATCACAAGGCAAGCAGGCAGTAAGAAGTGTCCACTTTTTGTTTACTGCACTATTCAAAAACATGCAAATTTAAAAGAAAAAAGTTTAACCACAGGTTACGTTTTTCGCTCCCATCACTCAAAATTGCCACAAAACGAAAAAAACAAAATTGATCAAAATCTACCACTCACATCCTACAGACATGATCTTTTGAACCCACTGAGGAAAACCTATGTTCCAAGCGAGGTCTGTTAGGATGATTAACAAAAAAAAAGTAGCCATTGGGTTATATTTTTGACTTAAGAGTTCGCATGTTGTTAAAAAGTCCATCACTAAACCCCACCCTCTTGAACACATGGTAATTGAAAGTGCTGGTCTAAAGGGGAAAAGTATCTAAACATACATTTGAGTTGAAAGGTAAACACTCCGGTAACTCACACTGGATGTATTTAAAGCATGGTTCAGGGGGTTCATACAAGTGAGAATTGACTTGTATTTCTCTTCTTTCCCACAGCTAAATAGTCAGATTTTTGTTCTCTTGTCCAGCCTCTCACACACAGTGGAGGCTGAAGATATTTAACAACACTCACCTCTAGCGGGCAAAAACAAATAAAAACAGCACCATTGTCCAGTAAAATTGTTACTTTTACCTTTAAACAAAGATCGGGGTCTGTTTCTTTGAGTGGGATTTTTTTCACAGCATACTCTCGTCCATCCAATTTGTTTTTTACCTGTAGAGGTTGTTAAAATAGAATTTAACAGCTGTCAACTAACTTGAATACGTATGTAGCTGGGTTTACAAAATAACAAGGTGACTTAGCATTTGTTAACTCATACTAACCTTGAAAACACTTCCAAAACCTCCTTTACCAAGTCTTGTGATCTCAACAAACTCCTCTTTGTAGCGGGAAGATCCATTTTGCAGTAGATCACTCATTTTTTGAGGTGCTGATAAGCTCCTGAAAATGCAGGAAAGCCAGTTGAGTCTTTGAACAGAACAATTTCCTTTAAACCTTTGGCCTCTCAGCTTCCTTCCCCTCCCCCTCTCCTTATGCGTGAATACTGCCATATTTATGCAGTAACCCCAAGGTGAAATGCCCACACAGCATTCCCATGCCTCACTGGCTGTGCAATAATAGTACAATGCAATAAGTTAACTTAAAGAAGAAGGCAAAATGTCTTATTATGATTTCCCAATTTATGGCTTAAAAGCAGACCAATACTGCTTCTAACACATTTTTTTTACAACAGTCAAGACCCTCACATACAGGTACATCTACATAAATTACATGTCAACAGATATTCTGTAACCAAGCCACAAGCATAATTTGTGATGTTATATTCATAGCCTGTGAATGAAGTTGCTGCTGCAGTTGTAATTAATCAGCTTACCTCAAATTGCTAAATGCACCTGGCAGTGGTCTCTTTACTCCAGAATGAAGCTTGCGCAGCTGAAATGTAAAGCTAATGATTACTAAGTAATAACAATAATAATGATTATACATTTTTACAAAGCTATCAACACTGTTGTCCATGTAATGTAACCTTGTGTACAATTTTAAATTGATTGCATTTCATCATACTTGTCTCACTCAGAGATGTTGTTCAGTAGCAAGGATTGAAGGTAAGGTGCCACATAGTTCAAGGCAAGAACAGAGATGTAAAAGTTATTGCGAAACCTGGGTTAATTTTGAAATTCTCTCAGCCAGCTGCTAAATGCCAGGGCTGTCAATAAGGGCCAGCAGCCTGGCCAAAACTGCTGGCTAGTAGGTAGTAGCCATCCTTAGCTGGCTACTTTCATCTCCTTCTAGTAACCACAGGATCTAACAAAAAATAAGTACCATTGAATACAATAATTATTATATAGTATCCGTTTCCCAGTTTTGAATGACACTTAATGCATATTTACACAGGACTAAATCTGTAGCACATTAAAAGTGTGCAATGTCATGGAACGTCTAGGACATTTGCAAGACTCTAACAAAATGTCCCTAGCTAGATGCCTCGGCCATCAAGAACTTGTGCTTTTGGTGTGAGTTCCAAAGCTGCCTACTATTTATTATCAGCTGGCAACTTAAAAAAATGTTGACAGCCCTGAAACGCTGTCAAAATTAAGTTACCAGCCATATATCTTACATCTGTTCCTGTGGTTCTAGCAGCAGCTTGCATGAGGTCACTGAATGCGGTCTTGTATTTTGCCCTGATGACACTAAATTCCTCCAGAAATGAGAAAGAGGGCATCACCTAAGAAAAGAGATGGAGAATTCATGAACATTATTATTACATTTTTATGTTTCCACACACTGTAAATCAGGTTAAAAAGAAATTGGGCAATCAGTGCTTCAAATAACCAAATCTAACAACTGTAGGTGATTATCCTTGTACTTAAAACTCAACTAAGGAGGATTTCATACCTTCATCTTCACAAGCTGTTGACACAGCACTACAAAAAGAAAATAGATCTTACATTCTGTATACATAAAACTAAAGGAATTTCTAGTATACTTGTACAGTTAAGTGTCAGCTTATATTACATAAACTTAGACACCGTCAATAAGTTTTGTTATGGTCCTAAGCATGATAAGCAATTACTTTTTAACCTCTCAAATAGAAAAACACCTTTGTTAAGCAGACACTTTTTCTAGTTCCAGGAGTGTCCTGCACACTTGCCAACCCCAAAAAGGGAAAAAATGTGAGAAGTAGGTAAAAAGTTGTGAGGTGTCCCAAATTGTCTACTGTAAGGACTTTGTGTGGAGATTATGGGTATTGGAAGTCACTATCTCACTTTTAAGCTGGAGCAGTAAACATTACAATCAATTTTATGATTGAGGTTTTGCATCTTCTATGTTTTGTTGGCACCATCTTGAAACAAGAGAAACATGAAGTCTGCACATTTGGTGGCTTTCACATCATCTGAAGAATTATGAAGACCTCGGAGGGTGTTATCCGCTGAGGCCACACCCTCCTCAATCTCCATAATTCTTCAGACGATACGAAAGCCGAATTCAATAACTGCTAAATATTATATGCCACACAGTAATTGCGGCACTTTAACAGACTCAAACGAATGAGCAGTAATTCTTCGATTTTTCCATTTAAAGTTTCATCATGATCACAACTATCAACCAATTTTTTCTCTTTCTGTTCTAGCCTGAAGCATTCAGTGTGTGTTTCTCACAATCTAGTTTTTACACTCACCATTAAAGATCTCTTTGCTTTTCTCTGCATCAGCCTCGTACAGAGAACACAGATGTTCCAGAAGAGAAACTAACAAAAGATAGTTGGGAACTCTTCCCTCTAAAGCTTGGACACTAGACCAAGGATCATTATTGGCAATGAATGTGTCTGAGAGATCTGCATCTGTTAGAAAAAGGTAGGATTATTAAAAAAAGATTTCATGGCTTTACATCTCTTTTTAGTGGATTTGACAATTGATTTGTTAACTTTTGATTTTTACCTATTTACTATTATTGATTTTCTCACCAGATAAAACGTCAAACAGGCCACTTTCGTGATAATATCATTTGACCACAATTACCAGAAATTGTTACTATTTTTGTTTCCCTTTGATATAACTTGGTTATTCCGGTGAGGTTTACCAAGGACCCTGACTTGCACAAGAAAACGAAAGTGTTGAGTATTCTGGAAGTTGTAGTCTAAAGGATATCATCATGCCAAAATGGTCTACAATGTCATCTGGTGAAAAATAGAACACCAGTTGGACAGCATAAATCTACAGTATTATGAATTAAATTTTATCTACAATTTTGGATACTTGCAAAGCTAACTTTACTGTATTTTAAAACAAAAGACATAAAGGGCAGACTAACATGTCCTATAATGGTAAAACCGCTGACCCAACACATGCTGTCTTGGCGTGACAACATTTGTCCCATATTTTTTTCTACAATAATTGCACAAAAACTATCGGAAAAATCACATTAGTCTTCTAAATTTGTTCAACAGCAGCTGGTTATGAAAAATTAGCCTGGAGATTACAGCCAATCAGAGATGGGGAATTTTTTTGGAACATTTGAATAAGGTTTATTAAATGAAAGCATGAGAAATATTGTAATAAGGTGCAAGTCAAGACAACGAGTTACTGGGGCTTCCAGAACTTAATAAATATCTCAAATGGAGGGTTACTTAAAAAAAAAATTAAAAGGGGCCATGTGGGGAGTGTAGCTTTGTGAAATGAAACTAATTGATCAAGAATTTTCCTTGAATCTTTTAATGAGGCTATAGGAGTGGGGTCATATTGATAATTAACAAATGAAGTAATAAAATTGAGTCTCCTTCACCACTTCAATAGTGAATAATAATTATTTATTACTATTATCAACCAAAGAAAATCAATACATCATAACTTAAAACATAGTTGACACATGAAAACCACTCATGTTTCATGATCAAAACAGTTTCAACCAACTAACTATAAAGAGCCCAAAATCAAGTTTGTGATCTTCTTGAGCAACGTACAGTACTGTACGCCAATGAAGTTAAAAAGTATTAACCCGGGATTAAGCTTAAAAATTTAATGATCGTACACGTTGTGCTTGTTTTGCTGTAAGGAAATTAAACGTCCCACAAACGATGGCATATTTAATCATAAAAAAGCCACAACTGTATCACACCCCAAAGGGGTTTTAGATTTGAAGAGGGTAGCTAAAGTTTACCTTGGAATTCTGTTAAACGCGATGGCAATCGAGGCGAATCGAGTTTGGAACGGGTCCACTTTGACCTTACGTTGGACGACATGACGGCTACAGGATGCAGGAAAAGCCCTTATCCATCTCAAAAACCTGCAGTGAGGTTCTAGGAGAAGAAAACCACCGACTTTTTATACCAGCCTTAGCGAGTTCCGCGGGAATACTTATCCCATGGTTTCACAACTAACTGGTTCAACTTGATTGCACTTTCGTTCGTTTCGTTCCTGTCACCTCATGTTGACATGTCATCATCAACATCGCGTGGTTACCATCCCGTGACCAGGTTGCTTGGCAAAATGGCGGCTCGTATGCATGCGAGAGACTTTGGAAACAAATTTTGGATTTGCAGAAGAGGGTTTTATTTAAAGGACATTAAAAACCGTTTGTTTCATTCATTTGGACTTAAAGACATTTTCCTGAAGAGACTGAAAGATATGAACATCGAGAAACCAACCGCCATTCAAGAAAAGGTTTGTTTAGAATTTGCAGGCGCTGATTAACCAAATTTTAATTTTGTTTCTTCATTGTTTACCTTTGGCTTGGTACTGTAGGCTCTAGGAACTGTTATGGAAGGAAAAGACGTAGTAATCAATGCAGAAACTGGAAGCGGCAAAACACTCTGTAAGTACGTATATGAGCGTATGAAGATGAGTATCCTGCGAGCAGAGGCCCTTCGATCTTCCTAGATAAGTCGGGAAGAGGAAGGGACATATTCCACGAGTATTCACTCTTCCCAGTGTATTTTTCACGGCTTTTTCAAATACATCCTTCGAAACAGAAACGTCAGAAGAGGCCCTGCC